TCAGAAGTTGGCCTAAAGCCTCATTTTAACCTCATTACTAAAAGCATAGTTAATGTCAAAACCTAAAGCATATAGAGAGAGATGATTTTATGTTTCCCTTGCATTTGATTTTTCCCTTGGGCTGCAAACTGCACATGCACCCAGATGTGTTGTTTAGTATTTCACTATGGCCTTCTGCATTTCATCTCTGCCAGGGGTATCCAGTTGCTTTTATATATACATTTCTTCAATTTCTTTTTGTAAAAATCTTTGATTTTAACACCTCCTTTTGGGCATATTTTCAGTACTACTATAAGAAAGTAATAATAAAGAAAAAAAAAACAAAATCTTTATTTATTTACATTGTACAGGGAATTATGTGTGTAGATAATTGATCTGATCGAAACTAACAATAAAATGATAATAATGAAAATAACCCAAGAAAAATGCATTGTCCAGTCAACAGAAATTAAAGTAAAGCTTGGCTACATTATTTGTTTAACATTTAGAGACTTGTTCATTTTATTACTGAATGTTTCTAAATAATGAAATAGTTTATGCAGTTCACTAGACCTCAAAGTGCAAGTAGTTACTTTTTCTTGGATTTAGAGTTTAAAAGGAAAGTAGAGATAGGAACTGGATCATTTGGTTCAGAGTGGTTAATAAATTCATCACCATTTTCTGGAAGCTATTTTGCTTTGTGTGTGTTATCAGCGATCTTTTCTTCTATTTAGCTTCATACATTTCACTTTATATCAACACCATTCACTTTGCACTGGCAGTGGATGCACATATTTTCATGCCAAATATACACAGATAAAGTCTAGGTTTGAGGGTTGTTAGCTACAAGTATGATAAAATGAGGCATAAGTGTTAGTGTTCTGCCTAAATTCCAGCCACCACTTTTAACCCCTTCACGATGGGTGACGCCGCTATGCATGAAAACAAACCGCTCGAAAAGTGGCGTGCGGCTGTACGCCGTGGCGGCGCACCAAAGTGTGGCAAGCCAGTGATACGGGCTGATGTACCGAACTCACACGCTCAAAGTCGGCGCACTGCCAGAGTGTAGAGTTTTTTTTTTCTGTTTTCTTCACCTGTCACCATTGGGTTAAGTCTGGGTGTGTGAGTGATAGAAGGGCTATAAACAGGTGACTGGGCTGAGACAAGGGTGGCATGACATATGTGATCCCATTAGAAAAACTATTCTCACCATGGCATGACATACATGGCATCTGGAAACAATGTATAAAGTTGAATTTCTCCAGCTGTTTTTCATTTGACTGAGCAACATCCTGCTTTGAACATTAATTCATTGCACACTGTATGTATCAGAACAACCAAGAAAAGGCAAACACTTCTCATAAAGGGAGGGTTAATATCAAGTTTTAAGTTCTCATAAGCATCACCTCTAAGGCAATGCAGTGAAAAAAAATATGACAGGTGTCAAACCTTTTTTTTTTATTAAGACTGTCATCATCATCATTATCTTCACCCTTTTTCTTTTTCATTAATTCATTAAGGAAGAAACTTTAGAGTAGAATGTCTAACATTTCAATGATGTATTATTTCTCTTCAGTTGCATATTATTATTATTGTTATTTAATTACTTGTTTGATAAAGAACAATGATTGGTTCTATTGCTTCCATGAGGTGAAGGTTACTTGTTTTTTCCCACTGCCTTTTCCCCCTTCCACCCATTTCATTATTTCAAGCATAGCTGGTGTAATTGACCCAGATATATGGAACTTGGTAACCATGGTAAGTAAATCTCACAGTTGTCACATCTTGCCTTAATTCTTACAGCTGTTATTGACCTCAACGGAAGATTCTTTGGTGGCAGACAAGTAATGGCTGGCTTCTATGATCACGAGGACTTCAAGGCATACAAACTCAATGAGAGGACTGAGTGAAGTGTGTGTGTGGAACAGACTTGACTCATCTTTCATAAAGGATTTTCATCATTAGTCCGTATTTTGATTCACTTTACCTCTCTCTCTCTCTCTCTCTCTCTCTCTCTCTCTCTCTCTCTCTCTCTCTCTCTCCTCTCCTCTCCTCTCTCCTCTCTCTCTCTCTCTCTCTCTCTCTCTCTCTCTCTCTCTCTCTCTCTCTCCTCTCTCTCTCTCTCTCTCTCTCTCTCTCTCTCTCTCTCTCTCCCTCTCTCTCTCTCTCTCTCTCTCTCTCTCTCTCTCTCTCTCTCTCTCTCTCTCTCTCTCTCTCTCTCTCTCCCTCTCCCTCTCCCTCTCCCTCTCCCTCTCCCTCTCCTCTCCCTCTCTCTCCCTCTCTCTCTCTCTCTCTCTCTCTCTCTCCTCTCTCTCTCTCTCTCTCTCTCTCTCTCTCTCTCTCTCTCTCTCTCTCTCTCTCTCTCTCTCTCTCTCTCTCTCTCTCTCTCTCTCTCTCTCTCTCCTCTCTCTCTCTCTCCCTCTCTCTCCCTCTCTCTCTCTCTCTCTCCCTCTCTCTCCCTCTCTCTCCCTCTCTCTCCCTCTCTCTCTCTCTCTCTCTCTCTCTCTCTCTCTCTCTCTCTCTCTCTCTCTCTCTCTCTCTCTCTCTCTCTCTCTCTCTCTCTCTCTCTCTCTCTTTCTCCTTCTCTTCCTCTCTTCCTCTCCCTCTCCCTCTCTTCCTCTCTCTCTCTCTCTCTCTCTCTCTTCCTCTCCCTCTCCCACTCTTCTCTCTCTCTCTCTCTCTCTCTCTCTCTCTCTCTCTCTCTCTCTCTCTCTCTCTCTCTCTCTCTCTCTCTCTCTCTCTCCCTCCCTCTCCCTCTCCCTCTCTCACAAGGGTCATCAAGATGAAGATATAATTTTCTTCAATGTTGTACTGATGTCTGTACAAATTAATTTTCACAGCTGTAATTGACCTGAACGGAAGATTTTTTGGCGGCCGTCAAGTCAAGGCAGGTTTCTATGAGTACGAAGACTTCAAGGCAAAGAGACTGAATGATCCGATTGAATAAGCATTAGGGTGTCATAGCCAGTAGAAGTGGAGTTAGGTCCTCTTACCATGAATTGATGAGGCATGGAAGAAATTTTACAATGTGTAAGTCAGAGAAATGTCCTTTTTTATGTGTCAAAATATGTGCTGTGTTCACATATACAGTTTAGACTTCATTCTGATCTTACAGTAATTGGTCTGGCTTTTGATGCTGTTTTGTGTGTCTGAACTTTCCCTGTTTTATAAGAGAGTTGGGAAAATTATTTCAGATACCCTACATGAATACTGTAAAATATGACAGAATAGGGAAAAGTGAAGGATTATAAATAAAAAAAGGAAAGCTAAACATTTTTTTCTTTACCTTTATTATTTAGTAGAATATAAAGGAAATGAAATATACTTTTGTTAGAATTTAAGCTTGAATAAAAAAAAAAGAACAGTAGCCAATTTATTACTGACCCAAATATAAAATAACAATGAAGAGATTAAGAAAACGTAAGCTTAATTTATAAATTGTGACTTAATATATTATGAATATCATTACTGGTAAACCACTTTAATACTGTAGGGAATTCTGAGGCAAATCAGAAGAAAATATGAAATATTTATGGTAGTGAAGTAAGAAACAAGTCAGTGAGCACCATCTGTCCCTCAAAGATTGTGCATGGTCCTGTTGTAAGACCCTTTGTGAATTAACCTAAAGATATAGGCTTTATTTTTTTATTTGCTAATAAAAAAGTCTAAATTTCGAAGCTTTGAAGTGCACTGACTGACTTTTATTCTTACTTGCAGATGGTCAACTTTTCTTTCTTCATAGTTGCACCTCTGTGGCCTCACAAATAAAGGGGTATTTTTCACCACAGAAATGACTGCTTGCCTGATAGCCTGACCATCTGTCCAAATAAACACAGTTCTTCTTGGGGTGCTTTGAGGGTTGCCCTTGCTTCCACACCTTCCGTCCAACTTTCCTGTTGTTAAGCCAAAGAAACTTCATTTCCAGCCTATGTGCTCCCACCCAGAATGTGTCGGCTGGAGGAAGAGTTAGAGAGATGTTGAATATTGAAATATGTAGTTAAAAGAATGACATAAAAAAACACAAATAATAGACTTCAGTTGATTTTCTTTGTTTACAGTAAATTTTTCTGCTGAATCAAAACATCAAAAGAGGGTGGATATACTTGCATTTGCTGTATTAAACTTGGCGTATTTTCTAATGCATACAACTGTTAATAGTCATCTAACTGTTGTTACCACATCATTGCCGTTACTACTATTATTATCTATGATCATTATTATTATTACTATTTTTATTATTAGCATTATTATTATTATGATTATTATTATTATTATTTATTTTTTTTATTTTTTTATTATTATTATTATTATTATTATTATTATTATTATAATAATGATGATAATAATAATAATAATTATTATTATTATTATTATTTATTTATTTTATTTTTTTATTATTATTATTATTATTATTATTATTATTATCATAATAATGATAATAATAATAATAATTATTATTATTATTATCATTATTATTATTGTTATTACTATCCATCTGGAAAGATAGATGGATACATAAAATAAAAGATAGAAATACTAATAAATAAACAGAGAGAGAGAGGGAGAGAGAGAAATGCTAATCTGACTCACAGTAGTGGCGCGACAGGTACTTCTGTAGTGCCCCAAATCTATAAGGCTGCGCGAGCCCTCCATTGTACTGTTGGCAAAATGCATGTGCTCTTCCCCATGAGCTCCAGTGGTTTGTGTCAGAAACGATCATGTAGCATCCTTTGGCCATGAGTGTGAAGGGGGGTGGGCATGTCGTCGCTTTATTTGGGAAAAGAGAATACAGAAGATTAGGGGAATCAAAGGGCTTTCCTTTAAAATATATACATAGGGTTAAGGTGAAGAGAATACAAAGGATTAGAGCAACATGAAGGATTCTTGTTTAAATCAATGAAAAAGGAATTACATAAAAAATGTATTGGTGTGGAAGAAAGAGAAAGTGGGAAGACCTAGAAGAAAGTGAAATATTTTTGTTGAAAATAAAATCTCTGTAAGTTGTTTTTTTAGAAGAAACT